GAATGCAGAGTTTATTCCGTCGTACACAAATAGCGCTGGATAGCGACAAACGAAACAGGCACAGGGAAAAATCTACCCTGGCAATACAAGGTAACGGTAGCTCCAACAATAACAGGCACAGGGGAAATATCTACCCCGGCAATAATAAGGTACGAGTAGCTCCACCGAGCTACACTACTCTCACAAATAAACAATCACCCACAAGGACAAGGGGGGCAGAGGGAACACTTATACACGGACTAATGAGGGGATAAGAACCAGGTGTGTGTGATTGACAAGACAAGACAAATGGAATGATGAATAATGGAGCGGCAGTGGCTAGAAAAGCCGGTGACGACGAACGCCGAAGCCTGCCCAAACAAGGAGGGGAGGCAACCTCAGCGGAAGTCGTGACACCATGTGCATGTAATTGTGATGGACACTGTAGGAGAGAGGAATAACATCGTGGGAGAGACAAAAAGTGAGTAAAAAACACCGTACATTTACATCCAGGGCGGGATCAGCCAGCGGCAGCTTCCCGCATGCGCGATTCATTTGCAGTCTGGACACGGAGGGGTGAACATCTCCTGCTCTGACTGCAGCTGGGAGGGACTGCTGCGCGAGGACTGGGCCGCCTGTGAGTGCTTTGGGACGGGGGTAACAAAGCACCCACTGCTCATTGAGAAGAGTAAGAACGATACGTGCTTTCACGTCAGAGTCTCCAATAACACCAGAAAAAGTCGCTAGATTTGTCGTTAGCGAACACTGTTCGCACAGATTCTTGGGGGCGGACCGAAGGGGTGACGTCGACGCTGTGTGACGAGGAGGCTGGAGCTCAGGATGTAAACAAACATGGCGGCGCCCAGTCCCCGATGGCGTCCGAATCTGTTAAGACCCCAAAGTACTCTGGTAAGGCGGGTTGGGAAGCTTTTCATGCTCAGTTTGAACTGTTAGCTCATTTTGGGGGGTGGTCGAATGAAGATAGGGCACTGCAGTTGGCTTTGTGCCTCACGGATGATGCTCTGTCCTGTTTGATATTGATTAGCCCCGAGGACAGACGTGATTATGGGGCTTTAGTTGGAGCACTGAGGAGGCGCTTTGGACAGTGTGTACAGCCCAGGCTGCTGCGCTCCGAACTGAGTAATAGACACAGGCAGCCTGGAGAGCCACTACGGGTGCTACAGTGAGGGAAAAAAGTATTTGATCCCCTGCTGATTTTGTTTGTTTGCCCACTGACAAAGACATGATCAGTCTATAATTTTAATGGTAGGTTTATTTGAACAGTGAGAGACAGAATAACAACAAAAAAATCCAGAAAAATGCATGTCAAAAATGTTATAAATTGATTTGCATTTTAATGAGGGAAATAAGTATTTGACCTCCTCTCAATCAGAAAGATTTCTGGCTTCCAGGTGTCTTTTATACAGGTAACGAGCTGAGATTAGGAGCACACTCTTAAAGGGAGTGCTCCTAATCTCAGCTTGTTACCTGTATAAAAGAAACCTGTCCACAGAAGCAATCAATCAATCAGATTCCAAACTCTCCACCATGGTCAAGACCAAAGTGCTCTCCAAGGATGTCAGCGAAAAGATTGTAGACCTACACAAGGCTGGAATGGGCTACAAGACCATCGCCAAGCAGCTTGGTGAGAAGGTGACAACAGTTGGTGCGATTATTCGCAAATGGAAGAAACACAAAAGACCTGGCAATCTCCCTCGGCCTGGGGCTCCATGCAAGATCTCACTTCGTGGAGTTGTTAGAGACTCAGTTTGAGCCCACAACTGTGCAGCTCCGCACAGTCACAGGTGAGCTGGCACCCATGAAAGGGAAGGGAATAATGACTCTGACAGTAGGGGGCAGGACTGTGCGTCATCCAGTGTGGGTGGCGGCTGTGCAGGACCCTTGTATCCTGGGGTTGGACTTTCTTAGGAGCACAGGCTGCCAGTTAGACATAAATGGGGGCACACCGAGCTTCCAGGGAGGGCCGGCAGTCACCATGGCCCCCACTAATGTCACATTCACATAACAACCCCCTTACTCCAACAGTTAAAGCAGCAGAGACTCATGGCTGCCCCCCCCTCCCCCACATCTGTGTGTGACATTTCCCCAGCCCCTCTGTCACCTACGGCTGTGTGTTACATTCCATCAGCTACCTCCACGACACATCCCTCCATGAGCCCGAGCCACGCCCCCCCCAGCCCAGCTACCCCAGATGGAAGAGGAAAGGACACTGTCTGCCGTGAGGGAGATATGGGAGAGGAACTGTGTTGGTCTTGACCCCGAGCAGCAGGAACGGTTGCGGCAGTTGCTGTTTGAATCCAGACACAGCTTTGTGCTGAGTGAGGAAGAGGTGGGTCAGACTCATCTGGTGCAGCATGAGATCGACACAGGTGATGCTCATCAAGATGCGTCCCCGTCGTATCCCGCTGGCACGCCAGGAGGCGGCAGACAAGGCTGTGTTGGAGATGCAGCGGGCAGACTTCATCGAGCCCTCAGACAGCCCCTGGTTGGCACCAGTCGTCATGGTTCCTAAGAAGAGGGGCAGGCTGAGGTTCTGTGCGGACTACAGGCGGCTGAATGAGGTAACCAGGAAGGACTCATACCCCATACCACGCATCGATGAGTCACAGGATCTGGTTAGGGGGTCCTGTTGGTTCTCCTCACTAGACCTCCGTAGTGGCTACTGGCAGGTGCCCCTCTCCCCAGAGGCATGAGCCAAAACTGCGTTCTCCTCTAACAGAGGACAGTTCAAGGTCCTGTGCTTCGGCCTGTGCAACGCTCCAGCTACTTTTGAGCATTTGATGTACAGGGTGCTGGATGTCATCCCCCGACAGGAGTGTCTGGTATACATTGACAACATCCTGGCCCACAGCAAAACATTCAACAAACATGAGCGCCGCTACTGTGTCACCCGGCGGGAGCTCCTAGCTGTTGTGGCTTACATCAAACACTACCTGGGTGGCCTGCCCTTTACTGTAAGGACTGACCACTCTGCTCTCCAGTGGCTCATGTCTTTCAAAGAGCCAGAGGGGCAGGTTGCACGCTGGTTGGAGGAGCTTCAGCCGTACGACTTCACAGTGGTGCACAGGGCAGGGGCACGCCACTCCAACCCCGACGCCATGTCCCGTCGGCCCTGTACTGCAGACGGGTGCCGCCACTGTGAGCGGAGAGAGGGCCGTGAGAGAGAGCTGTGTGCGGAGGAGGGGGTCTGTGCCACAGTGTGTCGGGTGGGTGGGCCTGTCTGCTGTGAGCTGCAGACTGTCGACGTGGCTGAATGGGAGCAGCAGCAGGGACGGGACACAGACCTACAGCCAGTGCTACAGTGGGTAGAGGCGCAGCTGAGGCCACCGTGGGAAGAGGTGGCAGCGCTCTCACTCGCGACCAAAGGGTTGTGGTCAAAGTTTGAGAGACTGCGGCTGGCTGGTGGCGTGCTACAGCGGGCATGGAAGGAGCCAGTTACGGGAAAGGAGAGGTGGCAGGTGGTGGTCCCAAAAGCACTGCAGGAGGCTGTGCTCCAGAGCACTCATGGGGGGGTGGGGACTGGACACTTTGGGGTCACAAAAACCCTCCGACGCCTCCGTCAGGGCTTTTACTGGGGGCAGCACAAGAGGGATGTGGAGGACTTTTGTCGCTGCTGTGACAACTGCACAGCATCATGTTATCCAAAGCGTTGGTGACCGTAACTGTGCTGCTGGCAACAATTTAATGACGCTTTTTTGCCTACGTTTACTGACACCGTCCATTTCAACGGGTGTTGAGCGTTCGTAAATTCATCAGTTATTCTGCGCTCTGGTACACTCAGAGGAGAGTGCTCTGAAATCGGAGTAGATAGCCAGAGCGAATTTACGAAATCACCCGAATGTCCATTGAGAACGCACAACGACTATACCACTTAGCTAAGCTAAGAATGACGGGTATAATCAAGTCAATAAACATTGGGTAGTTAGTTAGATATCAAATAGTTAATATACTTGCAAATTTGATGTATTAGTAGCCAACTAACATTAGGTAGCTAGCTAACATACCGGTACATACTGCTGTAATGATATGCTATGTGGTTCGTAAGGATAGCGTAGCTAACAAATTGTCAGCCAACATAAGGTAACTTATTTGAAAAGTCATAACTTTATTACATTGCTCAACATTTTCTTAACATTTGTCATAATTAGTTAAAGCAATGAATTTGTATCCGCTCTTGCTGGACTGCATTTTTTCCGCCATTTTCTTCCTTTCTGAAAACAATGTGAAGCCACGCCCATTTCCTGAAGAATTGGCCCTAAAAGCACTTTTGGCGTACTAACTATATCCATACTATGACCAATAAGCATACTATATACTAAATTTACGTCACAAATAGTATGGTTAGTATGAGTATTCGAAAACAGCTCATGACTTTTACGATCCATGTTTGTGCCATCATGTGCATTAGTAGCACAATTTCCAACTTATTTACATTGGTTTTTACTTACACTTGTATGTTGACTTCTCCATATTGATGTTGGTTTTAAGTTTTGGCAGACTTTTCTTAGCGGATGTACAATCATCGCAAATTGAATTATGGGGCGTTTCAGGCCCCGGAGTGAACAAAATTGTACTCTCGCAAACTCGATCACAAACGAGGGCTGAGCTGCTTACGTTGCCAACTTCCCTTGCTTGGCTAATCGTTTGGACCGACGGCAAAGATGGCCGCGGGCATTGCCCCAAGGGCATAAGGCGAGGGTAAGTGGAGGAGGGTGTGTCTTTTATGTATCCCTCGGGTGTCCAAGTTGACCTATTTCAAGAAATGCCATTGGTTTGTGAATAAAAAGTTGAAAGGCTGATGCGGAATTTGTTACACTGCCACCTGGTTAGGTTAGCATAGGGCTAAATGTGTCAGGTTATATAATGGGAACTGCTAACATGTAGTTAACATTGGGTTTGTGTACCGCCGTCTGCCACCATTCATTTTCTGCTTGTCGAATATATATATATATATATATATAGCCTAAATATATCTCAATTGCTACGACAGTGACACTTACCCTCTCAGCCACATATTTGACCGACTGAACACTGGTTCCATACAGATTGTCGTTGTACTGGCCCGCCTCGATGAACTTGTGCTCTTGGATGTCCTGCTCCATCTGCTCTCTGGACATTACAAAATGGTAGTCCCGCCCATCGACCTCGTAGTCCCTCCTCGATCGAGTGGTATCTTTGGTACAAGAGGAGGAGGAAAAGAAAGGTAAAATAAAGTTAATTTAAATACAGAAAGTACAATTAAAAAGAAGGAAACTGTTTAACTGAATGTGCAACTTATTGTTGAAGAGCAAGTTATAGAGGGGGCAGTGTTTAGAGTGAGTGGTTTAACAACTTAAGTCAGTCATTGTGTCCTTGAAACAAATTCAATATCATCCTAGATAAACGTCAAGGACATATTTAATCCCAATTTATAGGGCGATGTGTCTCAATAAAATCAGACGGCATCTACAACCGTCCATCGGATGACAAAAAAATGTATACATTTTGTCCAGAGTGACTTACAGGAGTAATTGGGGTTAAGTGCCTTGCTCAAGGGAACATCGACAGATATTTCACCTAGCTGGCTTGGGGATTCAAACCAGCAACCTTTCGGTTACTGGCCCAACGCTCTTAACCACTAGGCTACCTGACATTTAAAATAAAACGTTATCTATTTGTTAGGAAAACACACAAACGTTATTCAACCACTTTGAAATCAAGGTCTTTAAACAATCAGGAGAAAAATGTTGATCGCAAGGCGACATTTAAAGATAGTCCTTAATTGAAACAATAAAGCGGTCACCCCGCCTCTGTTTTGGTAGAAAGCTGAGGGATGGGCCTGGAGAAATGTAACCCCTTTCAAATTCACAGTCAGAGCTATGTATGCAAGGACTGACCATCCATGATATAAAAAAATATATAGTTTTAACCATGTTTTGAGGCTATATAATGTTTGTTTACATTTACATTGTTTACAAACATTGCATTGAAACAAGCGTATTTTTTGGGTTCTGATGGGTTACGACAGTTGAACTAAGCTCATGAGGCATTTATAAGTTATATTCTTCAAGAATCAATGGGTTTAGATCATTAATTTATAAGTCCACAAATGGCTGTAGCAACTAAGGATTCTAGCTTTAATGTCATTTGTTAGTATGGTCCCACTTTACAACAAGTGACCCTAATACCTTTTTATCTACAAGATAGTTACAAAGGTATGCACAGTGTGAGCATTTCGCTACACCCGCAATAACATCTGTTAAACACGTGTATGTGACCAATACAATTTGATTTGATTGTAGATACATAAACACAACTGCCTGTTTGTGTGTGTAAACAAACTAATTAATTGTGCACTGTTAGAATAAAACATTTCAAAATAACATGATAGTTTTGAAACCATAAAAACTAGTGCACCTACACTGATATCTGGAGGGTGCAGGGTTTGCAGAGTGATAGAATGTAAACCCAGTGTAAGTGTTATGTCGATTCAATCCGTATCGCGGAAGTTTAGCGCAATTAAAATTTAAAGGCAATGTTCCCACGTTCGCAGAAACTGTATTTACGGTAAACGCTGCATATGTCGGCTCAATCGGAAATTACCTTTACATTTTAAATTGCGCTAAAATGCTGAACTTCCGCGATAGGGGTTGAATCAAGCCCTAAATGTGCTTTTTGTTCGATCTGAATTTTTGGTATACGTGTTACAGTAAATGTGTATAATAGGAAAATCTATAGATTCCCCTGGAAATCTATAGATTCTCTGTCGCACTGGTAAAAAATGTTGTAGGTTTTTCCGGGGAATCTATCAATTTACCAGTGATAACAGAAATCTACACATTCCCCACGGTGAATCTGTAGATCTCCAGGTAAATGTGTATAGAGAGGCATTTTTATATTTTTTTTATGTCAATACTTCTACTAAAGTACATTTTGAATCAAATGTTTACGACAGAGTGGAACTTATTCTACTACCTTTCACTACATATATTCTGTATACCAGCAACTAAGTGGCTTACTTACCTCGTTGCCCTGAACTGTTAGCCGCTTTATTTGGTTTAAAAAATAGATGGAATAAAAAGATAAGTAAATGAAAACAAACAAAATATATCAAGTACACAGTGGTGTAAAATGTACAATAGTATTAAATACTATTGTAATACTTTTAAACTGTATTTAAAGGATCATTACTCAATTTAGTTTAGTCCACTTTTGATAAAGTCCCAAAAATTCACGTTTTCAAGATCACTTTCATTACATTACGTTCAGTCTCCTGATTCCCAAAATCAAACAGGAGCAAAAAAGATCCACAACTTTTCCAGGAATTAATCACAGGCCTGCTATTAGGACAGCCATGAGGCTTGAAAGTGCAAAATAATTGGATTGTGAGACCATATTAATGGTGTACAGACGAGAAATGTGTGAAAAGTGGTTTTAGAGTAAAATGCCCCTTTAAGCCAGAAACACTACTGTCCACGAACCTTTGAACTTAGTAGTATGGTCACACTATCTTTCATACTGGTCTACAACAGTCATAAAGCTTTTAAACAACAAACGACCAAAACACCAAAACTAGTTGTCTGTAAAAACTAAATCCAAATTTGTTTGGATTTGTTGCCATAGCTTCTGCTGAATTATGCAAAAATCTAAATAAAATAGAGTGTTAGCTAGCTGTGGCTAAAGTTAGCTGAAGTTTGTAGTAATTGTTTCAAGAAAAACCTAACCATGGATTACAGTGTCTCCTGGCCCATAGACTACATTCAGTGTGAGGAACCATCTAACATCAAGTTCTAAAATCCTGAACTTCCCCTTTAGTGGTTCAATGAAATTGCACGTGAATAGAAGGGAATAAGATCCTACATTATTATTGTCATCAAGAAATCATCTCTGGATAATTTAACCAAGTATGTAATATACAAAATAAAGAACCCAACAAAACATGTAAGGGGATGAAATGAAATGCCTTTTGGTGAGAAATTAGGAAAAATAATGAATCAAACACTATAACGACATAACAAATGAAGGAAACGGGTATAAACCACCATCACAATGGTATATTGGCAGCACAGTGGAATTTATCAGGGCAACGGTGTTATCTACTGTTTATAGGGAGAGCTAATCACAAGGGCACATGATCACACAATGTATTATTGATGCAGCAACTGTCTCCACCCTAAGACAGCATCAAGTATCATGTATCGTTTCAGAGTAGGAGTGCTGACCTAGGATCAGGTCCTGCCTGTCCATGAAATCATATCCATTTTGATCTAAGAGGCAAAACTGATCCTAAATCAGCGCTCTTACTCAGAGAAGCTTGATACATACGGCCCCTGGTTTCCTTGCGAAGGTACATGTACTTACGTGGCACGCAGGAGCCAAATTTGTCAGGGAATTCTGATATCAGGTCATCATTGATTCTGTCCTTCATTGGTCCAAGGATTATGACGGGTCTGGCGTAATTAACTGAAAGATAAAATGTGTCAATTGACTCATTTACAGACATTCAAGGCTATAACTGTGCCCCTAGCATTACTCTCTGCAGTAAATGTGAGCATGCAATTTCACTACAATAGCCGCTTATCCATTTTCACGCTATATCCGAGCAAGCCAATGCATGCTAGTGCCAGAACGGTTTCGATGTCTAGAGATTCAACAAGTGATTACTTCCTGTAAATAACTAGTATGGAAGAACTTGTTGAATCTTGCCTGAATCTTCCCGCAGGAGTTAGAGGAAGTCATCAATTGTTTTAAATCTGGATTTTAAAACCTTCTGCCGCTAGTACACACGGGCTTACATGGATATAGCATGACAATGTGTAAGTGGCTAATGTTTCACTGACTGAAAAAGTGCTGAGGCATAAACAAGGACTGCTTTGGTGAAAGATTGGAGTACTCACTCTCTTGTCGAATGACAGGCTCATAAGAGAGAATCATGTCCTCTTGACTCCCTGGTGACATAAAACAATAAGTAAACAGTCACTAAAATAGGTACTATTAAACAGAAAACAGTTACTAAAACAAACATTACATGCATGTTCATGCTAATTCTCTTGATCAAGTGTCCCACGACAGGAGAAATGTCAATCTGGATGAGTAAAGAAGTGATTAGACACTTGCAATGAAAACGCTCTTGGTGTAAATTGTGACTTCGCCATACTAAAAATAGGGATTGAGAGAGTTTATAATGCTTGGGACTGTCTGTTGCCAAGGGAGTTCAACTCCTCTGCTGCACTATGCAAACAGGCTTTTCAAGTACAGTGGGGGAAAAAAGTATTTAGTCAGCCACCAATTGTGCAAGTTCTCCCACTTAAAAAGATGAGAGAGGCCTGTAATTTTCATCATAGGTACACGTCAACTATGACAGACAAAATGAGAAAAAAAAATCCAGAAAATCACATTGTAGGATTATTAATGAATTTATTTGCAAATTATGGTGGAAAATAAGTATTTGGTCAATAACAAAAGTTTCTCAATACTTTGTTATACACCCTTTGTTGGCAATGACACAGGTCAAACGTTTTCTGTAAGTCTTCACACACTGTTGCTGGTATTTTGGCCCATTCCTCCATGCAGATCTCCTCTAGAGCAGTGATGTTTTGGGGCTGTCGCTGGGCAACACGGACTTTCAACTCCCTCCAAAGATTTTCTATGGGGTTGAGATCTGGAGACTGGCTAGGCCACTCCAGGACCTTGAAATGTTTCTTACGAAGCCACTCCTTCGTTGCCCGGGCGGTGTGTTTGGGATCATTGTCATGCTGAAAGACCCAGCCACGTTTCATCTTCAATGCCCTTGCTGATGGAAGGAGGTTTTCACTCAAAATCTCACGATACATGGCCCCATTCATTCTTTCCTTTACACGGATCAGTCGTCCTGGTCCCTTTGCAGAAAAACAGCCCCAAAGCATGATGTTTCCACCCCCATGCTTCACAGTAGGTATGGTGTTCTTTGGATGCAACTCAGCATTCTTTGTCCTCCAAACACGACGAGTTGAGTTTTTACCAAAAAGTTATATTTTGGTTTCATCTGACCATATGACATTCTCCCAATCCTCTTCTGGATCATCCAAATGCACTCTAGCAAACTTCAGACGGGCCTGGACATGTACTGGCTTAAGCAGGGGGACACGTCTGGCACTGCAGGATCTGAGTCCCTGGCGGCGTAGTGTGTTACTGATGGTAGGCTTTGTTACTTTGGTCCCAGCTCTCTGCAGGTCATTCACTAGGTCCACCCGTGTGGTTCTGGGATTTTTGCTCACCGTTCTTGTGATCATTTTGACCCCACGGGGTGAGATCTTGCGTGGAGCCCCAGATCGAGGGAGATTATCAGTGGTCTTGTATGTCTTCCATTTCCTAATAATTGCTCCCACAGTTGATTTCTTCAAACCAAGCTGCTTACCTATTGCAGATTCAGTCTTCCCAGCCTGGTGCAGGTCTGCAATTTTGTTTCTGGTGTCCTTTGACAGCTCTTTGGTATTGGCCATAGTGGAGTTTGGAGTGTGACTGTTTGAGGTTGTGGACAGGTGTCTTTTATACTGATAACAAGTTCAAACAGGTGCCATTAATACAGGTAACGAGTGGAGGACAGAGGAGCCTCTTAAAGAAGAAGTTACAGGTCTGTGAGAGCCAGAAATCTTGCTTGTTTGTAGGTGACCAAATACTTATTTTCCACCATAATTTGCAAATAAATTCATTAAAAATCCTACAATGTGATTTTCAGGATTTTTTTTCCTCATTTTGTCTGTCATAGTTGACGTGTACCTATGATGAAAATTACAGGCCTCTCTCATCTTTTTAAGTGGGAGAACTTGCACAATTGGTGGCTGACTAAATACTTTTTTCCCCCACTGTATGCATTTTATCCCAAACCAACAAACTGAGGTCCTTTTCTGTCGTCTGCAGTTGCGACCAGTGGATGCCTTTCCATTAAGAGCTGTGGCCACAATTGAGTGGACTGAGTGGATAATCAACCTACAGCTGGTAGGGACTGCCATATGGACCTCAAAAGGAACCCTTGACCATCAGTCAAGTTATGACAATTGTGATATTGGTCGCTTCACTGTACTACTTGTCCATACACTTCAATAATATGACGGCAAATCAGTTTCTCTAGTCAAAAGATTGTCAATATAGGCCTAATTTAATTTAGGTCATGACTATAGCTCTCAGGAGGATGATCACTTTGTGTGCTTGTCTCAAAACCTAAAAAAAACGATTTGTCATGATTCATTTAACCTTGTACTATACCACACCAAGTGCCCTGCTTGAGTTTCAAAGCTTCAGCATAACACCTATAAAACCTAAATGAACTGTTATCTGGTAACTCAGTTGTATTTAATTGGTGCTTCTTTGAGATGGCATGTTAAGTTAATTGGTTAGTACGCGCAAAACATGGCCACCTCAAAATTCCCCCCATACTAGCCATAGTTTTATTGTAATTATAAAGTGTAAATCCACTTCACATTATTGTTGCTTTTTTATTTCATATGAAACTCAAGACAGTACCAACATGATTTTGTTCTGCATCCATTTCTACTCTGATCCCGGGATTTGGACTCAACATAACATCTATAATAATCTATAATAGTTATATAAAAAAAGAGGAGAAAGCAAACGTTAAAAAGGTGGGTGTCCATTATTGTTGCAGTAAAATAAAAAGTTGTGATACCAAAGAAATGGGAGACGAGCAGTTTTCCACTTTGTACCTCTTTCTTTTCATGGGATTCAACAATGCATCAACATAGAGCAGGGGTGTCAAACTCATTCCATGGAGGAACATTCAAACATTCAAAATGTACTATATATGAGATAATTAAAAAAGTATACACAGCATTGACAGTAAGAACCCCTTAGCATGCCAGCCTAAAAAGAGCTGATCACATTCAGATGACCAGTGTACATCCAAACAGATAACACCAGTCTGTTATAGAAAGAAAGAGATTTACCATAAACAGACAAGTTGCGTAAAAAGAAAGTACATTTATTTCCAGACTTAAACACTTTTTTTCTGTCTTTCTTTTTTGTGTCATGCAAACAATCTTAATGTTAGGAGGTCACAGAAATCAATGCAATCAGGACCCAAACTGAGTCGTGATACTGCAGCATGCAAACAGGCTATCAAAAATAATTAATAAGGTAGCGAAAAAATAAAGAGGGAGGAAACAAACCCAAACGGGAAATGTTTTGTTTGACTGTACAGACAGGACCATTCCTAAACCAACTTACTCAGCGTCTTTGTCCCATACCCGTCGTCACCTATTCCTGGGATGTCCTACATGGCCGTCCCAAGAGAGCAAAGACAAGGAGAGGGGGCAAGGATAGCCGGAAAGGAGGAAGGAAGAGGTAAGAGGCATTAAAGAGGTGAAACTGTGAAATCCTGAAAGGCAAGATTGGTTAGTCCAGCTCAGATCATCTGTCTCAGTTCAGACACTGTGCAGACACCAGACGACCATCCAAAACCGGTCCTAACTAGCTCAGCACCAGTACAGTTTCGGTTCTCTTATATCACCCCTTTCTGTAATCCTCACATGCTGTTATTAAAAATACGTATGTGTATGTATTTTTTTGGGGGTCATATCAGATATATTTTTAGGTCATATCAGATAAGGGGGGAATATGATAGATGAGCCCGGGGGGAATATGATAGATGAGCCCTGGGGGAAGTTTTGAGGAATCACTGGTGACTGCTCAGTGCTTGACACAGGCTGATCCTGACCTGAGCTTCCAGATGCCATCACTCCACCAGAGCCCAAAAGATAGACAAAAAAAGATAGGAGGGGGGACTGCACACGTCTCGACAACGCACCTATGTATCACCTATGTGTACCTGTGTCAGTGTGTGTACCTACAGTACTTACGTTCAGAATCACTGTCATCCTGCTCACCCAGCTCGTTCTTGTAGAATGGGAACTTTCGTGTAAAGATGAGGTTCTTTTTACGCTTGTCATTGAATGACTGTGGAGGAAAGAAAGCATGGGGTGGGGCAAACAGGGAGCTCTAATTGTTGTCACATTCATGCTGACAAACCAACTAGTTGCAATATGTGGGACATGAAGAATTGATGGCGTGGTCACCAAAAATGTTCTACATAACTGACATTACAGTACTGACGTTACACTAGCTGATTCATCCCTCAAAGCAGGGTTTAATTATAATAACCTAATCATTTTGAATGTTGTTGATTCAGCAAAGAAAAGATTCCATGAATTAATCAAGACATTTCACAAATCTCTCATTTTGTTTTACAAATTTGATTTGTAATAACAAAAGACGCGGTTTGACAATAACACTGTCAAAATGACTCAACTTGTGATAGAGAATAATTACACAGTAATATTTGCCATCATTTACATCATGTGCCATAATTGCACCCGAGACATTCTCAAACACTTGAAAATAAAACGAAATAACAGAACAGGTGTTGAAAAGAACACACACATAAATGCTGATATGTGGTATGCCATGCAGCAAACACGTTACCAGGATCATGCTATGAAATAAGGAACATGGCTGTGACAAATGATTCTCCAACAATCATGCAGGGTAAAACTTTGGGAGGTGGAGGGATGAGATCCCATGCCATGGTTGTTGGGAGTTCTAGGAGCTAAAATGATGTCATTGTTGCCTAAAACTATATATTTAGATATGCTTGTGAAGATATAAAATCCTAAATGAACAAACATACAAAGAATTATGACACAAAGGGGTCAGATTGATCAAAAGTTTGTGTGTCTCTAATTACAAAAAATATTCTTAAAGGAGAGAAGTTGTGCGTAGTGCTGTTTGAGAACCTAGGAGGTGACGTGGAGCAGAGTGAAGGAATTGCAGTTGTGGTGTTTCTCTGCAGCGGATATTCATTTGCATACATGTGCTTCATAAATCCATTCTAAAAGGTATAATCTTTAAACCAGCAATGATCACCGCAACTGGTTCAATAATAGCCTCAACTGCACGTGTTTGATACATTTGGCTCTAACTGGGCGGCAGGTAGCTTAGTGGTTAAGAGCGTTGTGCCAGTAACCGAAAGGTCACTGGTTCTAATCCCCGAGCCGACTAGGTGAAAAATCTGTCGATGTGCCCTTGAGCAAGGCACTTAACCGTAATTGCTCTTGTAAGTCGCTCTGGATAAGAGCGTCTGCTAAATTACTAAAATGTAAAATGTAACTGTCAGCTGAAATAAGTGTGTCCAATGGGTGGATTAAGGTGTGCATAAAAGTTGAGAATTGTATCAAGTAGTGAGATGTAAGTTGTATCACAGTGGTTGTGATTCTTACACAGGGTTATCATAAGGATTGACATACTGGCACATATGTAACATCTGTGACAGACTAATTATCGTATTAATTTACAATTGAGAAGGATACAGCAATGCTACTACTGCAATGTGTGCTCAGAATATGTACTATTTCTACAAATCGTGATATTACACACCAAACAAGCCTCATCTCATGTAATTAAGGCTGTCCCAAATGGCACCCTATTCTCCTATAATGCACTACTTTTGACCAGGGCCCATAGGGCTCTGGTCAAAAGTAGTGCACTTTATAAGGAATAGGATGTATTTTGGGACGCACACTTAGAGTGTCCTATTGCTATTAATCATAGCTGTAAAGAATATGCTGTAAACAATGCATACAGCCTATAATAAGTATTCACCCCCTTAGGGATTTAAACCTGATCAGTTATGCAAGTCACTGACTGTATGGGAATTATTGTATTGACACAACTGCTGGAGAAATCCTGCTTCTTAGCCCATTGGTGCTGACAGTTTGCCCAGAGCCACATCAAAATACAGGGACCATTTCATGTTTCAAAAGTCTGCTTTACAAGACCAACACATTCAGAGCTGGTTATGACATTGCCATGGATACTTGCCCAACAGACATATCAAGCTTATTCAGATTAAAAGGGTTATGGGTATACCCTAAGGCCATACAAATGTAATTAAATGTTAAACAGATTAATTTTTTTGAAAAGTGAGGCACGCAAGCAAATAAAATAAATAAAAAAAGTGGACCTTCTTGTTCAAATACACGTATATCGACCTTAGTTCAACACCTAGCGATCAAATCAAGATATTTTAGCCTCTTTGGGAGGCTAAAAGAGGTATAGTTCAGCCATAATCTAAGAGGAAGTTGTGTATCTCCTTACTGGAAGCTTGAGGACATTATTTTTGCTAAAACCGTGCAATTTGTCAGTACAACTTTTCAATTTTTTCAATTTTAATTGTATTTTTGAGAAATAAATATATTTGTATGGCCTAACCCTCCAAAACCTATTGGAACCCTTTTTAATAAGAAGACAGCAAATACAACACAAAATCTGCTCTTTACTTGTAACATAGGTAGGCAAAAACATTGATGAACATGGCCAAACTGGACAAAGAGTACGAAGTATGGTGATTTGGATTCTGCTTCTGCAGAGGCTGGGCAGTTTCAGGACATGAAATGAAAAGAATAGCCTCTAATGCTTCATTAAGAAATATATATATATCTAATGTGCAATGTTTATTTAGGGTCAGGGCTGTGAGGGAAAGCTGTCAGGGGAGAGGGGGCAGCCTGTAGAGATGTGTTGATGTCTTTTCCACTCAGGCAGAGAGACCTCGGGCTAATACTATAGATGGCCATAAATGACTTTCACAACCTCTCCTAATGTGAGGGGAAATCTGATTAATTTCACATCAATTTAGATAAAAACTACGTTTAGAGGCTACTTTTTCTACTTCATATGATATATAGGTTTACGACCATTTCCATTTTGTAAAATGTCTTCGAAAGTTTAGTTGGCTTTCCAGTCCTTAGTATAAGATCTTAGCACTTACCCCTTTTGAATCGATTCCAGGTTTGGCATTGAACTTCACTGTCTTTAGACGTGCTCGTTCCTTCCTCTCAACCCTGCCAGTGGAATGAAAGACACATGGACAAAAAAAGTCATACTAGAGTGGATTTTCCAATTCTCCAATGCACTCTGCCGCAATTGATTTGCTTGTAATTTTTGTGTGGCTTCACTCACTCTACCCAGAAGCACCTCAAATTCTTCCATGGGGCAGAGAGAAAATGTTGCAGTTTTAAAGCTTAGTCCCAGCAGTTCTACACATTTTGCCATGACTTTTGCCATGTTCATATGGAGGTCAGGGCTGCTGGTTACTACAAGGTTTAGATAGCTGGTTCCTACAAGGTTTAGATAGCTGGCTAGACTAACTTACCTAGCAATCTATAAAATGTTAGCTGACATTGGCTAATTGATTGACTGTCAGTGACTGACAAGAGGAAAACTGCTGATGTGCTAAACTTCCAAATTGCAGGTTGTGTATTTTACTATGCTATCTTAACAGTAAGTTGAGATCCTGACTCACTCCCCCCCCCCATGGTTGGGGGCCCTACACGCAGCACGTTGTTTGCATATAGGCAGAGGAGCTTCTGAGCCTACCACACCTATCACACCTTTGAACTTTAGATAAATGGACTGGTAACTGAATGCTTTAGGCCTGGAGACTGTAGGCCTATATAATCTCACATTATATACCAATATATCTCTATTCAGCCTTGTGTTCTTTTCTCAGCTAGGCTTTGTAATAAAAGAGCTACACTGAACAAAAATAAAAACGCAACATGTAAAGTGTTGGTCCTATGTTTCATTAGCTGAAATAAAAGATCCCAGAAATGTTCCATACGTACAAAAAGCTTATTTCTCTCAAATGTTGTGCGCAAATTTGTTTACATCCATGTTAGTGAGCATTTCTCCATTGCCAAGCTAATCCATCCACCTGACACGTGTGGCATATCAAAAAGCTGAGTAAACCGCATGATCATTACACAGGTGCACCTTGTGCTGGGGACAATAAAAGGCTGCTCTAAAATGTGCAGTTTTGGCACACAATACAATGCCACAGAAGTATCATGTTTTGAGGGACCATGCAATTGGCATGCTGATTGCAGGAATGTCCACAAGAGCTGTTGCCAGAGAATTTAATGTTCATTCCTCTATCATAAGCCGCCTCCAACGTCGTTTTAGAGAATTTGGCAGTTCGTCCAACCGGCCTCACAACCGCAGACCACACGTATGGCGTTGTGTGGGCGAGCAGTTTGCTGATGTCAACATTGTGAACAGAGTGCCCCATGGTGGCGGTGGGGTTATGGTATGGGCAGGCATAAGCTACAGACAACAAACACAATTGCATTTTATCAATGGCAATTTTAATGCACAGAGATACCGTGACGAGATCCTGAGGCCCATTGTTATGCCATTCATCCGCCGCCATCACCTCATGTTTCAGCATGATAATGCATGGCCCCATGTCGCAAGGATCTGTACACAATTCCTGGAAGCTGAAAATGTCCCAGTTCTTCCATGGCCTGCATACTCACCAGACATGTCACTCATTGAGCTTGTTTGGTATGCTCTGGATCGACGTGTAAGACAGCGTGTTCCAGTTGCCACCAATATCCAGCAACTTCGCAAAGCCATTGAAGAGGAGTGGGACAACATTTCACAGGCCACAATCAACAGCCTGATCAACTTGTGGCGAAATCCTTTCACTTTCTTCACTGTGCACTGCCACTTTAAGAGTGCAGAGGCAGTCAGGAAAGAGGAAATAAAGATGGCTCTTCTGGCTGTGTGTAGGAGCTCTCGGTTTGCGCGTCAGTTTTGACTGCGTGTGCAGCTCTGCAGAAATCTTGTGTAGTTTCAGCGCGCTTAGTTTATAAAAGTTCTACAGTAAGGGAAAAAAGTATGTGATCCCCTGCTGATTTTGTATGTTTGCCCACTGACAAAGACATGATCAGTCTATACTTTTAATGGTAGGTTTATTTGAACAGTGAGAGACAGAATAACAACCAAAAAAATCCAGAAAAATGCATGTCAAAAATGTTATAAATTGATTTGCATTTCAATGAGGGAAATAAGTATTTGACCCCTCTGCAAAACATGACTTAGTAATTGGTGGCAAAACCCTTGTTGGCAATCACATAGGTCAGACGTTTCTTGTAGTTGGCCACCAGGTTTGCACACATCTCAGGAGGGATTTTGTTCCACTCCTCTTTGCAGATCTTCTCCAAGTCACTAAGGCTGACGTTTGGCAACTCGAACCTTCAGCTCCCTCCACAGATTTTCTATGGGATTAAGGTCTGGAGACTGGCTAGGCCACTCCAGGACCTTAATGTGCTTCTTCTTGAGCCACTCCTTTGTTGCCTTGGCCGTGTGTTTTGGATCATTGTCATGCTGGAATACCCATCCATGACCCCTTTTCAATGCCCTGACTGAGGGAAGGAGGTTCTCACCCAAGATTTGACGGTACATGGCCCCGTCCATCGTCCCTTTGATAAAGTGAAGTTGTCCTGTCCCCTTAGCAGAAAAACACCCCCAAAGCATAATATTTCCACCTCCATGTTTGACGGTGGGGATGGTGTTCTTGGGGTCATAGGCAGCATTCCTCCTCCTCTAAACACGGTGAGTTGAGTTGATGCCAAAGAGCTCGATTTTGGTCTCATCTGACCACAACACTTTCACCCAGTTCTCCTTTGAAATCATTCAGATGTTCATTAGCAAACTTCAGACGGCCCTGTATATGTGCTTTCTTGAGCAGGGGGACCTTGCGGGCGCTGCAGGATTTCAGTCCTTCGCGGTGTAGTGTGTTACCAATTGTTTTCTTGGTGACTATGGTCCCAGCTGCCTTGAGATCATTGACAAGATCCTCCTGTGTAGTTCTGGGCTGATTCTTCATGGTTCTCTTGATCATTGCAACTCCACGAGGTGAGATCTTGCATGGAGCCCCAGGCAGAGTGAGATTGACAGTTATTTTGTGTTTCTTCCATTTGCGAATAATCGCATCAACTGTTGTCACCTTCTCACCAAGCTGCTTGGCGATGGTCTTGTAGCCCATTCCAGCCTCGTGTAGGTCTACAATCTTGTCCCTGACATCCTTGGAGAGCTCTTTGGTCTTGGCCATGGTGGAGAGTTTGGAATCTGATTGATTGCTTCTGTGGACAAGTGTCTTTTATACAGGTAACAAGCTGAGATTAGGAGTACTCCCTTTAAGAGTGTGTATAAAAGACACCTGGGAGCCAGAAATCTTTCTGATTGAGAGGGGGTCAAATACTTATTTCCCTCATTAAAATGCAAATCAATTTATAACATTTTTGACATGCGTTTTTCTGGATTTTTTTGTTGTTATTCTGTCTCTCACTGTTCAAATAAACCTACCATTAAAATTATAGACTGATCATTTCTTTGTCAGTGGGCAAACGTACAAAATCAGCAGGGGATCAAATACTTTTTTCCCTCACTGTACGTTTGATCGCCTTTGTTATCGCGCTACTCCTGACGAGTTGGAACCGTTCTATCCTTTAATAATAATAATAATAATAATAATAATAATAATATGCCATCTAGCAGACGCTTTTTTCCAAAGCGACTTACAGTTATGCGTGCATAAATTTCTTGTGTATGGGTGGTCCCGGGGATCGAACCCACTACCTTGGCGTTACAAGCGCCGTGCTCTACCAGCTGAGCTGATCTCATTGATTACTAGCAACATTGTTGCAAGCTTTTGTCAAACAAACAACCAAGGATTGTGTCGGACAAACACACACACATTCAAGCCTGGATGCAACAGCTGAACCCATCTCTCTTGATCTCCTTCAGCTCTTTACACTGAAATAATGTATCGCTTTGTGCTGCGTTCCCTTTCATGTTCAGTGCCTTTGGTGAACTAATAAATGCACTGTAGGACTGTTTGACTTTTTAGTTAAAGGGAGGTTGCGTGAGTTTGTTTTATTATTTATTATTGTTTGAACAGTATTGATTTTGTGTGGGACTATTGACATTTCCACTGGGAGGTAATACAGAATATTGCAAATTCTCTAAGGTTTATGACTGGGTTCTTTTTTGTCAATTGTTTCTATGAAGTTGCATTTGATTTGCTCTACTATTATTCTTGTACAAGGTATTATTGGTTGGGTTACCCCTGTGCTGTAACGTGTGTTTTAAATGGTGTGTCTTATACTTTCTCGCCACTGGCTACAGTATCTGGCAAACAGGCTACACTCTAGGCAGTCTCTTCTGCTGATGTGTGTGTGTGTGTGTGTGTGTCTGGTAGCGGTATCCTACTCTTTTCCTTTCGGCAGGGTTAATACCTGCCTGGCGCCCGAACAAAAAGCTTTATCTTTACCCCTCTCTAAAAATACCGTTACAAACTCTACGCAAAGGACCTGTTGCGCTGCATGAGGCAAATGGTGGTCACACCAGATACTGACGGGTTTTCTGATCCACACTCCTACCTTTTTTTAAAAAGGTATCTGTGACCAACAGGTGCATATCTGTATTAGCAGTCGAGAAATCCATAGATTAGGGCCTAATTTATTTCAATTGACTGATTTCCTTATTAACTGTAACTTAATCAAATCTATAAAATTGTTGCATGTTGTGTTTATATTTTTGTTCAGTATAGCTTGTGTAGAATTAAGTTTTTATTGCAGTAAAATGATACACCAAATGTTAATGTTGTTGTGGGAACAGGATTGAAGAATTTTCTTTCAGCATCTCTCAAGCAAATTTGCGAACAGGTAGGGACGTAAAAAGTCCACTGTCCCCCCGGATCAGAAGCTAGCCTTTTGGTCAACCACGTTACAGTTTAGTTTAGCACATCCACCACTAACCTCCTCTTACTGGGGATGACCCCCATCTCCTCGCTGTCCCCATCGGGGGTCACCCTCCGGGCCTGCCACCATTCATCGTCTGAGGCGTTGATGACGTGGAGGATGTCCCCGTACCTGAAGCTGAGGCCTTGGCTCGGGAGGCCACTGTCTTTGGCCTTCTCATAGTCAAACTGTGCCCTGTAATAGTAACAGAGGGAGACATACTATTATAGAATTATTACGGTAAATGCTATCTATTTGGGATGACAGTCCAAAAGAGACCCACCTGACGTAAAGGGAACGTTTCTGATTGGTTCGGAGGGATCCGGACCCAGAGCTCATGCTGTGGTTCATCATCTGTTCCCGCAGATCATGGATTTTGGCCTCGAAGCGCCCATACTCTGCAAGGGAAAGACAACACAGAGGAGTACAATAACGTTCCATTTTACACTCAATGTATACAGCCCTACACTGCAAAGGAAAGAAAGGGGAATCTGTTCAGAACAGTAACCTAGGCTGCCCCTGGTCAAAAGTAGTGCACTGTGTAGGGAATAGGGTGCAATTTTTTTAACGCTTACATTTCAATGGACAGAACCAATGTTTTCAACTGCGTTATATTGATTGATGTATGTATTACTATGTAAAAGGTGTACTGATTGATGCATGTATTATTGTGTGATTTTTGTTTCCCGATTTATACATTTGTCTGAAAGTAAAAACGTTTTTTTTTAGTTTTTTTTTTACATGTAATAAGCTAAAGGAAGGTTTCACGCTGCAATATGCTTATCATAACACTTCAATGATTTGGTCAAAATTAACAATCCTTTACTGTTGCTTAGGAAGTTCATTCCCAGTGATTTGCCTTGTCAAATGTCTCTCGGTTTTGGATCGTTTAAAAATACTATGTTGCAAAGTCTGGTCGTGAAAGTGGCCGGGGGACAGGACAGAGAACAGAGTTGATAATGGCGGTCCTATTGGCTGGGGGGGGGGGGTACAGATGTAGAATCAACTTATCCTCCCCCAATCCTAGCCTTAGTGGCGAAAATGCAAAACTGACCCAAGATCAGTGTCTGGGGAAACTTCACCCTACACCTATTGAGTGAATGCTCGGATTACAGCTCTGAGTCCCCTTGCAAACACATCCTCCCTCCACCACACCCTACGCAAGGTGACATATTCTCGACATACAGCAAGCAGACAATGTTAGAGAAAGTGTCTGAAGGGCACATACAGTACAGAAAGCTCAGATAGTTCTCCTAAATGTTGTTCTCAGGATTGTCGTGAAGCCCCATGCCTCTTCCCATCCAAACCAAACGTCCACAAAAACCTTCAATCTTATTCAAATCTAATTTTATTTGTCACATGCTTCGTAAACAGGTGTAGACTAACAGTGAAATGCTTACTTATGAGCCCTTTCCAACAATGCAGAGAGAGAAATATAGAACAATTATAACACAAGGAATAAATGCACAATGAGTTACTCATGAACTATTGACTTGAAACTTAGTTTTTATGCTCAAAAGCAGTAATCGATTTCCATTGAACTCCATGCCACTTTGCTCCATCAATTTGGAACTTGTCATCACACCACCGCCATATAAAGTTTGGGGATGATATTTTAAAAAATAACATGGAAGCCAGAGGTTTAATTACATTTTGACCCCAAAATGCTAACATAATGTTAATACTATCTCATGAAACCAACTGTGATTCACCCAAGATTGGGTTTGTAGAGTCTATGTACTAGTCTCCAGACATTGTGCAAAGGAATAATTGTTGCATTCCAAGATGGCCGCTCCAGGCCAGTTGATGGCGCTATTGCACACTTAGGACTACAATTTATGGACCGGTGAATTTAGTGATGCAATTTGGTATGCATGATGTAGATAATGACAGTAGCTTATGGTGATGCTATGGAAGCATTAGGCCACCTGGTGGCGCTGTAGAAAATCCACATTTATAGCTCCTTGCTTGTTTGACATTTGGGGAAAAGGCTCAAAGCCCCCTACCAGCCCAAATAATCCCAACGTCTCTGAAAGGGATTGTGTAGCTTTGAAGTTACTTTTTGATCTGGTTTACCTAGCCACAGTCACCAACTGCTGACTCACATCCAAATAATTTTAAAGTATCTTGTCCATAGACTGATTTGAAGCTAAGGAAACGAAATATGTAATTATATGTGAGAGTAATTTAGGTGAACTATTCTTGTAATGAAACACTGCTGCAGCAGTTGTATATGAAGCCCTGGACAGCCATGCAGCTAATGAGGCAGAGAGACTCACTTCAGCCTATGACATTTACATAAGTATTCAGACCCTTTACTCAGTCCTTTGTTGAAGCACCTTTGGCAGCGATTACAGCCTCGAGTCGTCTTGGGTATGACACTACAAGCTAGGCACACCTGTATTTGGGGAGTTTCTCCCATTCTTCTCTGCAGATCCTCTCAAGCTCTATCAGGTTGGATGGGGAGCGTCGCTGCACAGCTATTTTCAGGTCTCTCCAGAGATGTTCGATCGGGTTCAAGTCCAGGCTCTGGCTGGGACAGTCAGAGACTTGTCCCGAAGCCACTCCTGCGTTGTCTTGGCTGTGTGCTTAGGGTCGTTGTCCTTTTGAAAGGTGAACCTTTTCCCCAGTTAAAGGTCCTGAACGCTCTGGAGCAGGTTTTCATCAAGGATCTCTCTGTACTTTGCTCTGTTAATTTTTCCCTCCATCCTGACTAGTCTCCCAGTCCCTGCCGCTGAAAAACATCCCCACAACATGATGCTGCCACCACCATGCTTCACCGTAGGGATGGTGCCAGGTTCAGATAGCTGATGTCCTGAAAGAGCTGCAAAATCTGGACACCTACAAATCAGCTGGGCTAGACAATCTGGACCCTTTCTTTCAAAAATTTGACTAGAATCACTACTCTCGGCGGGAATGTCTTAGAATATGTGGACAACTACAAATACCTAGGTGTCTGGTTAGACCGTAAACGCTCCATCCAGACTCACATTAAGCATCTCCAATCCAAAGTTAAATCTAGACTCGGCTTCCTATTTCGCAACAAAGCCTCCTTCACTCATGCTGCTAAACATGCCCTCGTAAAACTGAATATCCTACCGATCCTTGACTTCGACTTTAACAAAATAGCTTCCAACACTCTACTCAGTGACAGTGCCATCCGTTTTGTCACCAAAGCCCCATATACTACCCACCATTGTGACCTGTACGCTCTCGTTGGCTGGCCCTCACTACATATTCGTCGCCAAACCCACTGGCTCCAGGTCATCTATAAATCTCTTCTAGGCAAATCCCTGCCTTATCTTAGCTCATTGGTCACCATAGCAACACCCACCCGTAGTATGCGTTCCAGCAGGTATATCTCACTGGTCATCCCCAAAGCCAACACCTCCTTTGGCCGCCATTCCTTCCAGTTCTCTGCTGCAAATGACTGGAACGAACTGCAAAAATCTCTGAAGCTGGAGACACTTATCTCCCTCACTATCTTTAAGCATCAGTTGTCAGAGCAGCTTCCCGATCACTGCACCTGTACACAGCCCATCTGTAATTAGCCCACCCACCTACCTCATGCCCATATTGTTATTTATTTTGCTCATTTGCACCCCAGTATCTCTATATATCATCTTCTGCACATCTATCACTCCAGTGTTAATACTAAATTGTAATTATTTTGCACTATGGCCTATTTATTGCCTTACCTCCATAACTTACTACATTTGCACATACTGTATATAGATTTTCTATTGTGTTATTGACTGTACGTTTTGTTTAGTCCATATGTAACTCTGTGTTTGTTGTTTTTATCGCACTGCTTTCCAAATCATGTCCAATCAAATGAATTTACCACAGGTAAATTTCGAGTCTCATTGCAAAGGGTCTGAATGCTTATGTTTTTTATTTTTTATACATTTGCAAACATTTCTAAAACCTGCTTTTGCTTTGTCATTATGGGGTATTGTGTGTAGATTGATGAGGAATAACATTCATTTAATCAATTTTAGAATAAGGCTGTAACGTAACAAAATGTGGAAAAAGGGAAGGGGTTTGAATACTTTCCAAATGGACTGTATTGGTTTCCTTACCCTTACCCATGCTTTCAGTGGTGTGCAGTTTCAAAGCAAATTTTCTGTCATTCTAAACATTTTTTCCATGGTTTATGATGTGTTCATATGCTATTCACAATGCAAGTGAATATCCGTGATTTTGGCATTTTTTGTGTTTTATGTGTAAATCATATTCTACTAACTTATTGAGCTACACAATCAATTTTAGACACTTTGGGATAATTTGGACATGAAACTCAGAATTCAGAGATTATTTTGTAAAGAATGTATAAACATATATTTTTTTAAGGAGACATTAATAGTATGTGCTCCCTAAAATAAGTGATTTTCCTCTCTGCTTGTACTTGAATGTGTCATGAATCATGATGACTGTTTCTCCGTTACATATATACTACGCTTTTGCACCAGTGCAATGTTGGTCTGTAATTTTTAGAATGAATAAAACAAAACAAAAAAAGTCTAAATAAATGAAGAATTATACAGGCAATTCAATGTTGGCCTTAAATTTCATTTTTAATTTCCCTCTTAGAACAAAGGTTTAGAACATCTGGCCATTATCAAACACAATTTAGGAAGAAGAGTGACATTTTTGGTGGGAAGAAAATGCAAAAAGGAAACCACATTCTGTGAAAAAAGGATGTGTGGATGGATGGAATAGGATGTGTTGATGGATGATGTGAGATAATGCCTTACACCAGGAAAAAAGCACAGTGGGCATTGGTTTAGGGCTCTGAGCTGGGGTATAGTATCAAGACCTAAAAGACAGGCTGTGACTGAATTCTCATTTTACTTTCGTCTCTATATTTACTACAGTTGGGTGCATTACAAAGAAACTAAGGGACACATAACCTTTGTTTTTATTGATCTATACAATATATTAAATACTTTTGTATACTTTCTGTATTTAAAATAATAGATAGATCTCTAAATCCCCAAAACATGTCACTTCAACTCATCATTACTGGGACAAGCCAATTTGTCTGCTCTAAGTACTTTAAACATTGCAAAGTTTACATTTACATTTACATTTACGTCATTTAGCAGATGCTCTTATCCAGAGCGACTTACAAATTGGTGCATTCACCTTATAGCCAGTGGGATCAACACTTTTTAGCAGTATAAAGAACTTGATATTATGTTTTATCATTAATAAACATTTCAACATTTAAAAAAAGAGTATGATGTGTAACTATTTGTCACTTTAAAGTGTTTTTCATCGTTGCAAAGGCAAGGGACCTAAATGCCACGCAAATTCAATAATGACCCAGGACATAATATAAGAATTCGGTCACAGCCATATAGGAAGGTGTGAATGGGAATGAGGTATGCATCTGTACATGCAGAGTAAAATACGAAAGACAGGGTTCACCACAGGCTGTAGAAGGGTAAAGTAGTGGTGGAGTGGAAGGATCAAAATGTTGTAAAGTGTTGATTGGGACTTGAGGTTCTGTTTACACTTGAATATCCAGTGATTAATCTTGCATCTTGGTTTATTAGTTAGGCGGTTCTGGTATCAAAAGCAGTATTTTAACTTTCAGTTAAATCTTCACTAAGTTGAGGGATTTGCTACACTGCCAAAAACTCTCAAATACACAAGCAATTACTCAGCAGCAATATATTTTATGGCACTGTACTGGCATTTACAAGTCAATTACAGTTCTGGCCCTTAAAGTAAAATGTCCTTTACATTTCCTGCAGTGAAGGTGACCTGCCATAATATGGAAGCAAGCACAATTGCAAAGCTTGATGATTGTATTCAGCAGTTATATACCGTCATCACAATATATAGACTAAAATGAAAGGATTGCTGTCATACTCCTACATTTCTTCTCTGACCTGCTGTTGCCAAAATCATAGGGAAAACAGAACTGGCAGGCTTTCATTTGATTGCCATCAATTATATAATTATATTGGCAGACGGTTCAGTTTGCTAGTGACCTAGCTAGCTAACTAGTTAGCTAACTTCCAGTTGGATGTGCCCAAAAGAAGAAGGCAACAGGTACTTATCCGATAATACATTTCTACGAGCAAATGTGCGTTAGTATTGTTATTCAGAATTACCTCAGGGGTGGGAAATATTTTTGGCTTGAGGACCACATCGGGATTTAGATTTTCAGAATTTTCATTTCTACATACTTTTTATATGATTTTAGACATTCAGGTGTCGACTGAAGTCGTTTATCCAAAATAATTGTATCATTATCGGGCACCGGATACTGCCCACCCCTGATCTGCAGTATGTGTACTGTATGTGTTGGTGTGTAGGAGAGGGGGTGAAGTAAGATCTTGCAAGGTGGGAAGGTGAGGGACAAAAAGGGGAAGGAGGGGCTGTCTGATACCAGGAGTAAGCCCGTGAATGAGCAGGGGTAAGTGGACTGCCAGTGACTGGCCACACTCCAGTGACCCACCCACCCAAGCCCCCCCGTGAGGAACGTCCATGTTCAGAGCTGCCACTGGGGCCAGATTGCTCAACTTTGACCCTGGGTGCTGATCACATGGCACAAACCTGGTGCTGGTGAAGGGGCCCGGCGTGGGGAGCACAAAGCAAGTTCTGACGGGTGAGAAAAGAGAGCAGTCATCAGTGTGGGGAGTGATCGTCAGCAGGGAGTCCTGTGTGTCTGTTTTTGGTCAAATCTCAACCACACGATTCAAGCAGGCACTTACATCCCCAGTGTCAAAACAGCCTCAAACTTCATACCCTGTACTGATTATAAGGACAATCTTCGGACAAACAAATTCAGAACAGAACAATCTTCCCAGAATGCACCTTTACACAGTGATTCTGAAAGTCCAGGCCCATGACTCACTGTTACTGCAGTCATCCCCTGAAGTATCGCCAAAGACTTTAATCCAATATGGCATGTCTTGGCACACCAATCAAAGCATACCCAGTGCATCACAGGCAATGTACTGGAGTTTTTTAAGAGGAAGCTGGCCAGAAAATGTCTCTCGTGGGTTATGTGTTTATTTGCCAGTGTGAAATTATGTCAATATTTGTACACAGGATTTGGTCTTCCTAGGGCAGTGATCATTAACCTTTTCTGAGCCAATGCAACATTAAAAACAGTGCTGTATGAATGAGGGTTGGGTAGTGAAACATTTTATTTTTTTATTTTATTTCACTGGACTCGCAGTGCCTGCATCTGAAGGTCAATCTCTCAGCAAATGGAGGCAGAGAGCAGCAGAGGGTCCACCTCTCACCACCCAGGTAGCTGAATTTGCACATTCAGACCAATGACATTTTTCAAAACGGGACCACTTCGCCTTCCCAGTAAGTAGCCTTGCACAAGCCTTGGCTTGTGTGAGCTGGAATGGCTCAGAGGAGCTGGTTTCTGTTTATGTAGCTTGAGGCAGCTTGATGTACAAGTACACCACTGAACAGGACACGAGTCTATCGCAGGGCCTTACCCACAATCTATCTCCTTAATGCGAAGTGCCAAGCAGAGATGCATTGGGTCGCATTTTTACAGTCTTTGGTATGACTCGGCCTGGGATCGAACTTCCAACCTTCTAATCTCAGGGCGGACACAAGGCCACTGAGTTGGTCTGGTTAATCAAATGTACCTACCGCTAATAGCATGAGAGGAATTTAATAAATGGGAGTGTATTGCTTTATCGTTGGCTATTCTACAGAAAAGTTTGCCGATCAACTAGGAATGCCTTAAGATCGACCAGTCGATCGCAATTGACAGGTTGGCGACCTCTGTTCTAGAGTGTGTGTTGTCATGTGCCTTTCGCCTTGATCATGAATCTCAGTGATTGGTCGTTACAGCTGATACTTACCCTCGGGACGGTACTGGGCAATGATGGTGACAGTTTGGCCCGCCCCCTTTAGTGCTGCAGCCGCTTGCTCGTGGGTGGCCCCGCGTAGGTCGATGCCATTAACCTGCATTGACAAAGACACATCGATCTATACATTAATCTTCCACTTTGTACAACTGCAAACAAAATATACATCAAACAGGTCCCTCTTTCCCTCCCTTTCCACTCAATCCATTCACCTCAACCCCTGTGTTTGTCTTTGTGCTTACTACTCCAATGCATGTCTGACAGTGTGAAGTGAAGAGACTGGGAAGTGAGAGGGAAAGTGAGAGATAGTGGGAAAGACTACGTGCCTGAGAGAAAGAGGGAACAAGTTATTCTTAGACATGAAAATCAGGCCAGAGCTGAAATGCACCTTAACTGCCTACTCTGATGCCTGGGCAGAGGCGTCAGAAAGGCTATTGCAGGGTATGTCTCAAGTTTAGAGGGAGTGTGCAATTGGCATGCTGACTGCAGCAATGTCCACCAGAGCTGTTTCCAGAGAGTTTAATGTTCATTTCTCTACCATCAGACGCCTTCAATGTCATTTTAGAGAATTTGGCAGTACGTCCAACCGGCCTCACAACCGCTTCGTGTGGGCGAGCAGTTTGCTGATATCAATATTGTGAACAGAGTGCCCCATGGTGGCGGTGGGGATATGGTATGGGCAGGCATAAGCTACGGACAATGAACACAATTGCATTTTATTTATGGCAATTTGAATGCACAGAGATACCGTGATGAGATCCTGAGGCCCATTGTCATGCCATTCATCCTCCACCATCACATCATGTTTCAGCATGACAATGTACGGCCCCATGTCGCAAGGATCTGTACACAATTCCTGAAAGCTGAATATTTCCCAGTTCTTCCATGGCCTGCATACTCACCAGACGTCACCCATTGAGCATGTTCGGGATGCTTTGGATCGACGTGTACGACAGCGTGTTCCAGTTCCCGCCAATATACAGCAACTTCGCACAGCCATTGAAGAGGAGTGGGACAACATTCCACAGGCCACATTCAACAGCCTGATCAACTCTATGCGAAATGAGGCAAATGGTGGTCACATCAGATTGACTGGTTTTCTGATACAGTTGAAGTCGGAAGTTTACATACACTTAGGTTGGACTCATTAAAACTCGTTTTTCAACCACTCCACAAATTTCTTGTTAACAAACTATAGTTTTGGCAAGTCGGTTAGGACATCTACTTTGTGCATGACACAAGTTATTTTTCCAACAATTGTTTACAGACAGATTATTTCAGTTAGAATTCACTGTATCACAATTCCAGTGGGTCAGAAGTTTACATACACTAAGTTGACTGTGCCTTTAAACAGCTTGGAAAATTCCAGAAAATGATGTCATGGCTTTAGAAGCTTCTGATAGGCTAATTGACATCATTTGAGTCAATTGGAGGTGTACCTGTGGATGTATTTCAAGGCCTACCTTCAAACTCAGTGCCTCTTTGCTTGACATCATGGCAAAATCAAAAGAAATCTGCCAAGACCTCAGAAAATAAATTGTAGACCTCCACAAGTCTGGTTCATCCTTGGGAACAATTTCCAAACGCCTGAAGGTACCACGTTCATCTGTACAAACAATAGTACGCAAGTATAAACACCATGGGACCATGCAGCCGTCATACCGCTCAGGAAGGAGACGCGTTCTGTCTCCTAGAGATGAACGTACTTTGGTGCAAAAAGTGCAAATCAATCCCACAACAACAGCAAAGGACCTTGTGAAGATACTGGAGGAAACAGGTACAAAAGTATCTATATCCACAGTAAAAAGAGTCCTATATCGACATAACCTGAAAGGCTGCTCAACAAGGAAGAAGCCACTGCTCCAAAACCGCCATAAAAAAGCCAGACTACGGTTTGCGACAGCACATGGGGACAAAGATCGTACTTTTTGGAGAAATGTCCTCTGGTCTGATGAAACAAAAATAGAACTGTTTGGCCATAATGACCATCGTTATGTTTGCAAGCCGAAGAACACCATCCCAACCGTGTAGCACGGGGGTGGCAGCATCATGCTGTGGGGGTGTTTTGCTGCAGGAGGGACTGGTGCACTTCACAAAATAGATGGCATTATGAGGAAGGAAAATTATGTGGATATATTGAAGCAACAAGACATCAGTCAGGAAGTTAAAGCTTGGTTCAAATGGGTCTTCCAAATGGACAATGACCCCAAGCATACGTACAAAGTTATGGCAAAATGATTTAAGGACAACAAAGTCAAGGTATTGGAGTGGCTATCACAAAGCCCTGACCTCAATCCTATAGATATTTGTGGGCAGAACTGAAAAAGCATGTGCGAGCAAGGAGGCCTACAAACCTGACTCAGTTACACCAGCTCTGTCAGGAAGAATGTGCCAAAATTCACCCAACTTATTATGGGAAGCTTGTGGAAGGCTACCCGAAACATTTGACCCAAGTTAAACAATTTAAAGGCAATGCTACCAAATACTAATTGAGTGTATGTAAACTTCTGACCCACTGGGAATGTGATGAAATAAATAAAAGCTGAAATAAATCATTCTCTCTACTATTATTCTGACATTTCACATTCTTAAAATAAAGTGGTGATCCTAACTGACCTAAGACAGGGAATTTTTACTAGTATTAAATGTCAGGAATTGTGAAAAACTGAGTTTAAATGTGTTTGGCTAAGGTGTACAGTGAAGGAAAAAAGTATTTGATCCCCTGCTGATTTTGTACATTTGCCCACTGACAAAGACATGATCAGTCTATAATTTTAATGGTAGGTTTATTTGAACAGTGAGACAGAATAACAACAAAAAAATCCAGACAAATGCATGTCAAAAATGTTATAAATTGATTTGCATTTCAATGAGGGAAATAAGTATTTGACCCCTCTGTGAAACATGACTTAGTACTTGGTGGCAAAACCGTTGTTGGCAATCACAGAGGTCAGACGTTTCTTGTAGTTGGCCACCAGGTTTGCACACATCTCAGGAGGGATTTTGTCCCACTCCTCTTTGCAGATCTTCTCCGTCATTAAGGTTTCGAGGCTGACGTTTGGCAACTCGAACCTTCAGCTCCCTCCACAGATTTTCTATGGGATTAAGGTCTGGAGACTGGCTAGGCCACTCCAGAACCTTAATGTGCTTCTTCTTGAGCCACTCCTTTGTTGCCTTGGCCGTGTGTTTTAGGTCATTTTCATGCTGGAATACCCATCCACGACCCATTTTCAATGCCCTGGCTGAGGTAAGGAGGTTCTCACCCAAGATTTGACTGTACATGGTCCCGTCCATCGTCCCTTTGATGTGGTGAAGTTGTCCTGTCCCCTTAGCAGAAAGACACCACCAAAGCATAATGTTTCCACCTTTGTCGGTGGGGATGGTGTTCTTGGGGTCATAGGCAGCATTCCTCCTCCTCCAAACACGGCGAGTTGAGTTGATGACAAAGAGCTCAATTTTGGTCACATCTGACCACAACACTTTCACCCAGTTCTCCTCTGAATCATTCAGATGTTCATTGGCAAACTTCAGACGGGCCTGTATATGTGCTTTCTTGAGCAGGGGGACCTTGCGGGCGCTGCAGGATTTCAGTCTGTCACGGCGTAGTGTGTTACCAATTGTTTTCTTGGTGACTATGGTCCCAACTGCCTTGAGATCATTGACAAGTTCCTCCCGTGTAGTTCTGGGCTGATTCCTCACCGTTCTCATGATCATTGCAACTCCACGAGGTGAGATCTTGCATGGAGCCCCAGGCCGAGGGAGACTGACAGTTATTTTGTGTTTCTTCCATTTGCCAATAATCGCACCAACTGTTGTCACCTTCTCACCAAGCTGCTTGGTGATGGTCTTGTAACCCATTCCAGCCTTGTGTAGGTCTACAATCTTGTCCCTGACATCCTTGGAGAGCTCTTTGGTCTTGGCCATGGTGGAGAGTTTGGAATCTGATTGATTGATTGCTTCTGTGTACAGGTGTATTTTATACAGGTAACAAGCTGAGATTAGGAGCACTCCCTTTAAGAGTGTGCTCCTAATCTCAGCTCGTTACCTGTATAAAAGACACCTGGGAGCCAGAAATCTTTCTGATTGAGAGAGGGTCAAATACTTATTTCCCTCATTAAAATGCAAATCAATTTATAACATTTTTGACATGCGTTTTTCTGGATTTATTTGTTGTTATTCTGTCTCTCACTTTTCAAATAAACCTACCATTAAAATTATAGACTGATCATGACTTTGTCAGTGGGCAAACGTACACAATCAGCAGGGGATCAAATACTTTTTTCCCTCACTGTATGTAAACTTCCGACTTCAACTGTACATGCCCCTACCTTTTTTTAAGGTATCTGTGACCAACAGATATGTATGTATCTGTATTTAGGGCCTAATTTATTTATTTCAATTGACTGATTTCCTTATGTGAAGTGTAACTCCAGTAAAATCTTTGAAATTGTTGCATATATATATATATATATATATATATATATATATATATATATATATATATATATATATATATATATATATATATATATACACACAGTGGGGGAAAAAAAGTATTTAGTCAGCCACCAATTGTGCAAGTTCTCCCACTTAAAAAGATGAGAGAGGCCTGTAATTTTCATCATAGGTACACGTCAACTATGACAGACAAATTGAGATTTTTTTTTCCAGAAAATCACATTGTAGGATTTTTAATGAATTTATTTGCAAATTATGGTGGAAAATAGGTATTTGGTCACCTACAAACAAGCAATATTTCTGTCTCTCACAGACCTGTAACTTCTTCTTTAAGAGGCTCCTCTGTCCTCCACTCGTTACCTGTATTAATGGCACCTGTTTGAACTTGTTATCAGTATAAAAGACACCTGTCCACAACCTCAAACAGTCACACTCCAAACTCCACTATGGCCAAGACCAAAGAGCTGTCAAAGGACACCAGAAACAAAACTGTAGACCTGCACCAGGCTGGGAAGACTGAATCTGCAATAGGTAAGCAGCTTGGTTTGAAGAAATCAACTGTGGGAGCAATTATTAGGAAATGGAAGACATACAAGACCACTGATAATCTCCCTCGATCTGGGGCTCCACGCAAGATCTCACCCC